AAACATTTTGGTTGTTGTTGTGAACTAATTGGCTGTGTCGGGTGGTGGCGGGTTTAACGACACATTTATATTCACGTGCTCTCACTAAAAATAAACTACATTATGGATGATATTGGTCCCGAAATCCGACGTGTTAAACTGACAAAAGAGATCCCTTTTGCAAGGCATCGAGTCTGCGTTGACCACGCGCAGTACTAGCGGAGGGGGGGGGGGAAACTTGCAAACAAGTCATACTGTAATTGTTAGCCAAAATCTGGTTCCGCATTTTATTTGGAGAAAACAATATTCCAGCGCTGAGAATAAAAAAATATCAGGCTCCTAAATGCCCGATTTTTCTCCAGGACCCAGAGGAAAATCCACGCGACCACGGTGAGAGAGAGACACCGCAAACTCCAAATACACAGCAGTAGGTGTCGGGATCGGATTCCTCACGTCACGACGCCGATAATGACGGCGCTCGGTGATCGAAGAGGGGAGCGAGGGAAGGAAAATGCAAAAAGAGAATCCTCGGGAGAAACCCACATCACCCGATCCTCCTCTGACCCCGTAAGCACAAGCAGAGTTGAACTGATCGTGCATATTAACGGTCACACACAGACAAGACAAAGATCCCCCGTATAGCCTGAACAGACTTGGGGGCAAACGCTGTTAGCAAGGAGCACCTATGAAGGCCGGCACGGCACACAAAGGGGTGGGGGTGGCCGGCATCACGCCCGGCCGCCTTTGTTTCCCTAGTGGCGATGTTTACAACACACCACTACACCAAGTACTCATATGAGGCTGAGTCGACCTAGGGGAGGCCCAGGACCGGTTCAGATAATCGTTTCTGGTGTTGGCCGGAATCGAACTCGGGCCACCAGGTTCGTAGCGCAGCGCGCTAACCGCTACACCACCGCTCCCCATCAACAAAAAGAACCGCCATTCGCCACTAAGTGGCGGTGACGTCACCACGGCGCTTGTGCCAGGCTATGTTCACGTTGAGGCCACGTGAATTGTCGAACGCCCGCGGGCAGGTGGTCACGGGGCAGACCCAGGTGCCACGGGTCGACTGACGGAGATGACTGAGATGACTGGCTGATGCACCACCTGTGCCCCCTGCTGTGCCAACTTGCTTACACACGAACACACACGGTCAGTATGACGCCATGATGACGTGCGGCATTGTAATCACGCACACCCCGCGTGTACACAATCGACGGCACGACGTTACGACGCCAATCGGCTCCTCAAGAGGCTCCCGGCACGTGGAGAGAAACGTCGGACACAGCACAGAAGATGTAGAACCCGACGATAACACGTCAGAGAGCCAGAAGCTAATCTCTCCATAATCGCGAGGTCGTTAACATCTCGCCACCATTGCGGGATGTTGACGACCTCGCCTGGTAGAGAGGTCATGGGTTCGATACCCACCCTGACGCCTGCTGTCAGATTTGGGGTTTGCGTGTCTCTCTCTCTCCGTGGTCGCGTGGATTTTTCTCCAGGTCCTCTGGTAATTCCCCTCCACATTTAGAATCAACTTAATGCGTTTAAGAGTATTTGGCTGCTGTAAATTTCCACGCGAAGCCACTTCTCGTTCACCTATCATTTGTGATCGCCAGGGTCGCTTCTAACAAAAAGAGAGCAACATCGCTCAGTGGGGCTTTGCCTGGTACAATAAAAGTTGAGTTTAGTTCGTAGTTTGAATAATCAGAATAGATGTTAAGATGTTCAAACACCTAATATAAACACCATCGCAATCATTGAAGACTTGGTTCATCAAGGACTGAATGCTGGGGTACCCCCCCTGGTGAGACACTGCTTAACCAATACATACTTCACCTGGAATGGAACCTTCTACAAGCAAATTGAGGGCACCCCAATGGGCTCCCCCCTATCTCCGGTTGTAGCCAACATCTTCATGGAGAAATTTGAGACGGACGCCATCCAGACTGCCACTCTACGCCCGACCTTATGGAAGAGGTATGTAGACGACACTTTTATCATCTGGCCACATGGCCGGCCTGCTCTAGACCAATTTCTCGACCACATCAATTCCATACACCCAGCCATCAGATTCACCATGGAAGTCGAAAATGATGGCAAGCTACCCTTTTTGGATGTCCTAATCAAAAGGAGACCTGATGGTTCAATGAGCCACTCTGTCTACAGGAAAGCCACCCACACGGATGCTTATCTAAAACCGGATTCCCACCACCATCCATCCCAGAAGAATTCCCTCATCAAGACTCTATATCATAGAGCCCAATGCATCTCCGACCATGAACACATTTCCAGTGAACTCAAACACGTACGCCAAGCTCTTAAGGCTAATGGTTACTCCGACTACACAATCCGCAAAGCCATCACTCCAACCATCAAGAAGGATCCTGTTGAGGAGCCTTTCAAGACCACCTTACCCTACATTGCTGGGGTCACAAAAAAGATCTCCAAAATCCTGATTAAACACAAGATCCAGGTCCGATTCAACACAGTACATAAAATCCGTGATCTGGTCCCGTCTGTAAAAGATGTGGTTCCAGACATACAGTACCCTGGCGTCTACAGACTAAGTTGCCTCTGTGGTAGCAGTTACATTGGAGAAACCAAACGACATGTCTCGGACCGCATCCGTGAACATAAGGCAGACCTGAAACACGGTAGGACAAACACCTCAGCCGTGGCAGATCACTGTTACAATTCAGTGGGCTCACATGACATTGACTTCTCCAAGACAGAGGTTCTCTGCAAGCCATCTGGCTATCATGAGAGATTCGTTCATGAGGCGATCCACATATACAAACACAGAGACAATTTCAACCGAGAAGATGGATTCTGGCTTAGCAATCATTGGAAGGACGTAATAAACCATTTCGGATCTTAACTGATTGTGTTCACGTTAACGGTGACTTTCAGACCGCGTTCCACTCACTGGCATGGTGCAGTGTGCAGAGTAATGTATGGTGTCGTAATTGTACAGTAAACATATAGCAGTATGATACACATTAGGGTGGGTAGAATAATACATATGTTATATTAAAATGGATAAGGCAGCAACTGCAGCAGCAGCAGCAAGTGCAGCAGCAGCAGCAAGTGCAGCAGCAGCAGCAAGTGCAGCAGCAGCAGCAAGTGCAGCAGCAGCAGCAAGTGCAGCAGCAGCAGCAAGTGCAGCAGCAGCAGCAACTGCAGCAGCAGCAGCAACTGCAGCAGCAGCAGCAACTGCAGCAGCAGCAGAAACTGCAGCAGCAGCAACTGCTGCAGCAGCGGTGGCTGCGGCAGCAGCAATTGCAGCAGCAGCAGTAACTGCAGCTCCCTTTGATGCTGTTAATCCTGCATAATGCACATGCATATGCAGTACTAATCACATTCCTGCATTTCCCATAAATATGCTAAATTCCTTTTAATATGCAAATTCCTTTGTCAATGCGCCCAGCTTATATATATGCTCCAAGCTCGTGTGCTGTTTCATTCAGACTCTGTCGCCTCGACGGACCTGGTTTTCACCTGAGGACGGCTGCTTGCGTTGTGGCCGAAACGTCGTGAGAATTGTTTTATTATGTTTTATTTTTATTATTTTATTACTTCCCTTCTACGTGACTTTACCGAAAGAACCAAGAAGATAAACATTTAGGCAATGAATCAAGTACTGCATTAACCACAAGTACTTGAGGTTAATGCAAACAAAACATTATCTGATTGGCCGACACCAGAGACCGCAGCCTTCTTGATGGCCCAGTCTCACTACCACCAGTGTCAGGCCAGAGGATAACAAAAGGCGAACAGCACAAGGAAAATGCCACACGTATCGGAGCATTTACAGCTCGGGGTGAGCAGCTGCATTATGGGACCTTTTTTGGCAGTATCAACGAACAAGCCCGTTCAAACACCAAACTCCACAATAGGTAGTTGCCGTTTAAACACCTCAACACCTGTTCCATTGACAGAAAGTGAAAAAAAATATATTCTGAATTTTCATTTGATACTTGCAAAAAAGGTCCCATAGTTAATAGTTCAGTTTAAATACTGACCCCCGGTAGTCTGACGTCAACGTTGCATCGCAGCGATGTTTCTGGCTACTCCTAAAAGTCCGGAACTCCCTTCCCCCAGACGTCCGCGCCGTCGGCTCTCTGCCCCTCTGTTCCAAGCCCGGGCTTATGACTTCCCTCTTATTCTCCTCTCTGTCGACAAAAACACCGACGCACGAATGGAAAATTAAAATCTCTCCAGCGGTGTGCGACCGTGGTCATCCAGAACAGAGCGCACCACTTGTGACGACGCAATGGCTCCCATCCGCAAATACGAGGAGACATTGCAGCGGTGACGGTGATGATACACTCCGTGGAGACACAGACACCCATAGAGATTCTTAGACACCCACAGACTCACAGAGATCCATGGAGGCTCAGAGAGACCCACAGAGATCCATTTTCCCATAGAGACATCACAGCGATGATACACTCTGCTACTGCTCCTGACGCGGTTGTCTGCTGGCGTGACCACCTCAAAGTGACATTGTAGCTGTTGCTCTGCCATCTACACCAGCAGCTGTACGACAAGAAGTCGAACAAGTGTGACTACCTCTCACCATCTCTGTGCAAAAAAAGCGCTCGCTATGCTTACTGCAGGCAACGACAGGCGCTCCCCGTTCCCTACCACTTGCCTTTCCTGTACTTTGCACTCCCCTCGTGTCTGCATCGTGCTTCACAGCTCATCGGATTCCCCCTGCAGTATAAATACTGCAGATTCTGATTCTGTACAAAGTAGCGAGTGGCGTGGCGAAAGCTTGGGAGAAGACATTCCCAACGCACGGGCGAAGACCGGAAAACCGCGCTGGGAAACGGGGAGTGGGGAAAAAAGAAATGGTCCTTGAGAGGCGTCACGTGACCACCGAGGCGTCACATGGCTGCGGGACGTCACGTGACCGAAACGTCAAGTGACCGCGTGACGTCACGTGACCGCGAGACGTCACACGGCACCGTGCCCAATCTAAGAACAGCTGAGTTTGTTAAACGAGCAGAATCGGATTTGACGAAAACAAAATATTTATTCAAATGGTAGAAGATAACAAAATAGATGGTGCTCATTCATCGCGTTGCCATCAGGAAGCAGTAGCAGAGAAGGATAACCGAGCAATATCAACGACGGTCATGAAGACAGTGACGATGACGATTACGAGTCAAGATAATGACGACGACGATGACAATGAGGACGGCGATGACAGTAATGATGAACACGATGGTGCGGTGACTGATGATGAAAATTAAGAAAACTTTTAATGACAATAACGATGCTGATGAATTAACGGTGGCAATGGTGGCGACGATGAAGACTGCGCATTCACCGCGCGGCGTCCGCTCCTCCGCCCTTGCCGCCCACGCCTGCCGCGAGGTTTATTCACGGCGGAGGAGCGCCCCCCCCCCAAGTGGTCACGAGCCAGACGCCAATTCAAAAAAGCAAAGAAAGACCACGGGACGGCGACTCCGCCATCCCACCCAGCCCCCAGTGGGGCGATTCTCCACGAGGAAGCGGAGCCCGACAAAGATTACACGCGATGGATATTCACAATAACATCGCGGAGTGGTTAAATTACCACCACGAGCGGCCCAGCGCACGGCTCCACGATGCAAGACCCCCCCCCCCAAAACCCCCCGACCATTCCACCCCAACGGACCAAGCGAGCGACTCGCTGCTCCACCGGCGAGTGAGCAACCACAGACCGACCTCCCCCCCCAGCCGGCTGGTAAGCGACCGTCAACCCATCGACGTCGAGACGTCATTGCGGGGAAAGCCGCCTCCATCCTCCGTCCCTCCCTTCATCTCCGGCTGGGGCGGGCGAGCGAGTGAGCGAGATATCCGTCAGAATCTTCATTTGTAGACTGGAGGAATCCGATGGGCTAAGCAGCTCTTTTACACACAGACACACGTCCAGCAGCGAGCGAGCGAACTAGCGACCACGCGGCTACCACCGCCGCTGCGCCAGCAGAAGCGAGGTACGGCTGGCATGATGGTGGCGCTCGCTCGCTGGCGGAACCACGAGGCGCGGCGGGAGACGTTCATCGTCGCACCTTTGCAGGGAACGCAACCCCCACGTAAACCCTGGGGGGGGGGGGGGGGGATTATTGCACAGTGTCTATTGTATCGCTCGTTGCTGTAACGTCCTGACCCCGTGCTTCTACTGGACAGCAGAGAAAAAGCTTTATAGCTCATCGGATTCCTCCTCCAGTCTGAATATTCTGATTCGAACGTTGCGGGGTTTGTTCCCAGGGTGCCGCCAGTTACTGCCGCTCGGCCCCTCTCCTCCACAAGATTCGTACACCCGGGAAAGCGTCGCCGAGTCTCAAAGACTTTTGCCGGGAGGGGTCCTGCCAAGTAATTTTGTAGAGGTGGAAGGGGGCGGTGATGTCGCTGCTGTGCGCGTGCGATCCCAAGCGAGCGAACGAGTGATCTTTCACCACTGGGATGTGTGCACCCCCACACCAGTCACACCGTTGCGCACCGTTTTAGACCCCGGAGGAAATCCCATGCACGACATGGGTATAGCTGTCAGCCCATACGGTTTACCCCGTATTCTTCTACAGGGAAATTGAGTTTTTTCGGGTCCATATGGCATTACAGCCGTTTCAACATTAAAAATAATGTCGATTTATTTGTGTTTCTCTCCTTGTGATGGGACTTTGTAGGATGAACGTTGAGATTTATAAGGGGCACGGGGTGACCAATAAGGTCTGAGTTGGTCTGTAATACGGTAGGGCTCCGATAAGGGGTTGACAGGTATGCATGGGGAAGAGAAGCAACACACAGACTCCAAGTACACACAGCGCCGCCCCGAGTTGGGAATCGAACCCGGACCCCCTTTGCCGCCTCGTTGCGCCATCGGGCGTCATCGTCAGTCTCATTACAATCATTACCTCCATTGCCTGGGGTCAAACTCCCACATCGGGGAGTCGGATGGCTCAGGGTCACGGGCGCTAGCGATCCCCTGCGGGAACGTCGTCCCCTCCTGCGCACGGTGGTCAGGAGATGTTAACTCCCTCGCCTGGTACGCAGGAGGTGGTGGGTTGGATCCTGACCCTGAAGATGCCTGCTGCTGCTGTATATTTGGAGTTTGCTCGCCTATCTCTCTCTCCCCATCGTGGTCACGTGGATTCTTTCCTCCGGCTCCTCCGATTGGTCCCTCTCCTCCGCATCGAGAATCGACGCATCACGCGTGTGTTTTGAGAGTATGATGATTAGGATATCGGCCAATTTCGTCGAGCCATCGCTTCCTAAAGAGAGCCACGGAAAGCTCAGCGGCGGGCCTCACCTGGTGGTCAGGTAGAATAAAATGAAAACGAAGTTTACTGCGAGGGGCGGCGAGCGCAGCTGCCGAGCGGAGCCAGGTGGACACCCCCGAGGGGAAAGGGGGGTGGAGGTTGAAAGATAAACAAAAACACGGCGAGCAAAACTAAATAAATAAAGAAAACAGACATACAGAGCAAACACAGGAAGACCGACGATGACGATGATGGTGACGATGGTGACGATTGTGACGACGACGGTGACGACGATGACGATGATGACGTTGTGGCCTCTCGAGGCACAAAGGATGTGGGTCAGGAACGTTTTTTCCTTCCTCCCACCCACGAATCGACCGACCGACTGCTGCGCCACCGCCGCTTGCTGCACCAAGGCCACTCGAGAAACACCGGCACCGGATGCCGGCACGCAGATTGGCACGGCCGCCACCGCCACCGCCACCGCGCCGGGGTCCGGAGAGGAGAGATGGCGGGGGGGTGGGGTAGGAGGATGGGGGGGGGAGCGGCAGAGGCCAGGGGTCAGAGGGGAGTCGTGCTCCAACGATGATGCAGCAGGAGAGTCTGTCGTCGGCGAGACTTCCAGGGCGAGTGGGCGGGCAATTACGCCTGAAGGCGCCAAGGACGAGGGCAGGGGCAGGGGGGAGGCTGATCGGCGCGGGGGGGGGGGGCTCAGAAGTTCTGCTGGCGACGCTTCTTGGCATCGATGGCGTCCAGGATGGGCTGCCGTTTGGCCTGGTAGCGGAGGCGCAGCTCCTCGATCTCGCGCTCCATCATCGGGTCGAGCGCCGACAGCCGCGCCTGCAGCTCCTCGTAGCTCATCACCTTCAGCTGCGGAGCGCCATATCGACCGCACAGCATGCGCGGGGATGACGAGGAGGTGGACGAGGTAGAGGACGAGGAGGTGGAGACGATGGAGAGGTCAGCGATGTCGGCGGCGGTCGACGAAGCAAGGGGTGGGGTGGGGGGGGGGACGATCAGAGGCGCATGAGCAGCAGGACAAGAGAAGCAGCGTAGCGGTGACATCGGCGGTCAGTGACAGCAGCAGCAGTGTCAACACCACCACCAGCAGCAGGGGCAGCATCAACACCAGCATCATCGTCGTCATCATCATCATCATCAACACCACCAGCATCGTCATCAACACCAGCATCATCGTCAGCATCATCACCACCAGCACCATCATCATCATCGTGTAGACATGAGTGTATCTGCGCCCGCGTGTCTGCGTGCCTCTACGCCCGTGTGTGTGCGTGTCTGCGCCTCCGCGTGTCTGCGTGCCTCTACGCCCGCGTATGAATGTCTGTGCCCGCGTGCGTCTGTGCCTCCGCGTGTCTGCGTGCCTCTACGCCCGTGTGTGTGCATGTCTGTGTCCGTGCCTCCGCGTGTCTGCGTGCCTCTACGCCCGTGTGTGTGCGTGTCTGCGCCCGCGCGTGTCTGTGCCTCCGCGTGTCTGCGTGCCTCTACGCCCGCGTGTGCATGTCTGTGCCCACGTGTGTCTGTGCCCCCACGCGTGTCTGTGCCCCCGCGCGTGTCTGTGCCCCCGCGTGTCTGCTTGTCTGTGTCCGCCTAAGCTCGCGCGTCAGTGCGGACGTACGAAGTCGAAGTCTCCGTCCGTTGGGATGCGGAAGTCAGCGTGGGGCCCGCTGGCCTTGCGCCCGTTGCTGGCCGCCCCCCCCGAGGCCGGCCCAGATTTGTTCTCCCGGTCCTTCGCCTCGAAGTACTCCATGAAGGAGGGGCGCTGTGTGCGGTGGTCCGGCGTGTCTATGCCTGGCCGGATAATCACATAACACCACCATCACCACCACGACCACCATCACAACCACCATGATCAACCACACACCAGCACCACCACAACAATAACCAACTAGCACCACTATAACAACCACCACAACAACCACACACCACACCAACAACCACACACCATCACCACCACGACCGCAACCAACCCACACCACCAACCCACACAAAGATCCCCCGTATAGCCTTATCAGAATGTAGGGGCAAGTGCCCTTAGCGAATAGCACCTACGTACATCGGTACAGTATACGAGGGGGTGGGTGGCTAGCACCCCACCTGGCCGCCTTTGTCTCCCCAGTGGCGATGTTTACACACCGCATCAGGTACTCATTTGAGGCCGAGTTGACCTACCGGAGGCCCAGGAACGATTCAGATAATCGTCACCGGTGTTGGCCGTGAGTGGTAATCTAACCCGGGTCGCCGAGTTCGCTGCACAGCACAGCGCTAACCGCTACACCACCGTTCCCCACCACCGTCAACACAGCCACCACGGTTGTCACCACCACCACCACCACCAAAGACAAAGATCCCGTGTAGTCTTTAGCAGACTGTTGGGGCAAGTGCTGTTTGCGACCACCACTACCTCCACCACGGCCGCCCCCCCCCTCCCCCCCCCCGGGGCTCACTCTTCATGGTGCCGTCGACGACCTCGCCATCACCGTCGTCGTCGTCTCCGTCGCGGCCTTCCTCTTCCTCGTCGCCGTCCTCGCTGCTGTTGATGACCATGGTGCCCAGGTCGGAGCCCAGCATGGTAGCGGCGTCGCCACCGGCGTGGGAGATGATCATGGTGCGGGCGCCATCGCTCAGCGCCGTCGTGCCGCCCACCCTCATCGTTCTGCCGCCGCCCGCCGCCGCCGTGGCATCGCTGCCATCCTCCATGCGCAGCATCGTGCGGCTGTCCACCGCCTCTTCGTCCTGCACAACGTCGACCCGGTCCCGTCCGGTCGTCGGCCAGCGGCATCGACAGAATGGGCAGCAAAATTGGTGGCAGCATCATCAGCATCAGCATCATCAGCATCCGCAGGAGCATCAGCAGCATCGTCGGCGGAATCAGCGGCATTGCGAGCAGCATCCTCAGGGGAATTGTCAGCATCGTCGGGGGAATCGTCATCATCATCATCAGCAGCATCATCATCAGAGGAATCAGCAGGATCATCGGGGGAACCGTCAGCATCATCATCATCAGCAGCATCATCATCAGAGGAATCGTCAGCATCATCGGGGGAATCATCAGCATCATCGGGGGAATCATCAGCATCGTCGGGGGAATCATCATCATCATTATCAGAATCGTCAGCATCATCAGGGGAATCGTCAGCATAATCAGCAGTATCATCAGCAGAATCGACATCGTCTGTATTATCGGCGTCATTGGCATAATCTGCAGCATTGGCCACATCATCATTAACAATTACGAACTTGCTTCCTTTCCTCCCTTAAAAAACCCCCATCTCTCTCCCCTAGCCCGGCATCATCAACATCCTGCTACTGCTCCTCCCTGCCCCCACTCCCCAGCTAAGACCAGGCCTACTCATACCCCTATCACTACCCCTGTCACTACCCCAACCCCTCCTTGACCGCTCCCCACCTTCTTCGTCACCGTCACCATGACTCCACCACTTTTAATGACAAATCCACTACTCTTTATCTCAATCAATGTAATCTTTTGTACAATTTAACAATTGCTGTTATGCGCCTTGGAATAAGGCGCTGCTCTATAAATCTACACGAGATGAGTTCAGGCTTTGTCTCTCCGGTGGCGATGTTTACACCGTCGCACCAGGTACTCATTTGAGGCCGACCTAGGGGAGGCCCAGGACGGGTTAAGATATTCGTCACCGATGTTGGTCGTGAGCGGGAATTGAACTCGGGTCGCTGGGGTCGCAACGCAGTGGCGCTAATCACTACGCCAACGCTCACCCCAATCGGCACCAACACCACCGCCACCACCACTACCAGACAGCTGTGAAAAAGAGCTTCATAGCTCATCGGCTTCCTCCAGTCTGAACAAACATTCCCATTCTGACATAAACATTCCGATTCCGATCAACTCATTGGCACAGGGCAGTGGGAGAGACCAGGGCAGCGCAGGGCAGCAGGAAAACGGGGCAGCTCAATGGCTGGAAGGGTACTACAAGGCAGCGTGGGGCAGCGAGGTGGCCCAGCCACCGCCCAGCGGGGGTCATGTGGCGGAAGGGCAGCGAGGTCGCGGTGAGGTCGTGGCGAGGTCACTCACGGAGTTGTCGTCCTCCTCGTCGAGGTCGTCGTCCATCTCCTGCCTCTTCACCTTGATGGCCATGGCCTCCCCCACCAAGCTCTGCAGGATGGACACTGGCTTGGCGGCCTTGATGAAGGGGTGCTGGAGAGGGGAGGGGGGCACACGCGGCACGCTCACTCCACCTGGCTCCTCACTCTCACTCTCATCTCCATATGGTCTCCCCCCTCTCCCCTCTCATCTCACTCTACTCCACGCACTCCCCCGCCACTTATTCTACTTCCCTCTACGCACTCCCCCGCCTCTCCCCTCTCATCTCACCCCACTCCCCTCCACGCACTCTCCTACCTCTCACCTCACTCCACTCCACACACTCTCTTACCTCTCCCCTCTCACCTCACTCCACGCACTCTCCTACCTCTCCCCTCACTCCCCTCCACGCACTCCCCCACCTCTCCCCTCTCATCTCACCCCGCTCCCCTCCACACACTCCCCCGCCTCTCTCTCCACGCACTCTCCTGCCTCTTCCCTCTCATCTCACTCCCCTTCACGCACTCCCCCACCTCTCCCCTCTCAACTCACTCCACTCCCCTCCACGCACTACCCCGCCTCTCCCCTCTCATCTCACCCCACTCCCCTCCACGCACTCCCCCGCCTCTCCCCTCTCATCTCACTCTACTCTACGCACTCCCCCGCCTCTCCCCTCTCATCTCACTCCACTCTCTCCACTCGCTGCAGGCGGCCGCGCGCTGCGTTACCTGCAGGAGCTGCGTGGCTGTTGCGCGGTGCTCCGGGTTCTTGACGAGACACTTCCTGACAAAGTCCGTCAAGTCATCAGACCAGTTCTCGGGCTTGCGGAACGTAGGCGGGGGGTTGGTGGGGATCATAAAGATGGCCTGCGGTGCCACGCACGCACGCCCACGGGTATGCAGAATCAGAATATTTATTTATCCTGGAGGAATCCGAAGCTCTTGTCACAGATGTTCAGTGTGTAGGTGTGTATGTGGAACCTCTTTCGCACCATACGTAGCCAACCGCGCCAATCGGAGGTTAGGGGGAAGGGCAACAGCAGGGGCAGGTACAGAAATGTACAAACAAGAGAAAAAGACTCGCTGCTACAGGAGTGCAACGTATAGGAAATCTCAGCAAATCCGGTAAATAAGTAATGAGATAGTGACATCTACTGGTTGAAAAAGGGAAGCACGGGTACAGACACCATTATAAACATTATCCAATCCCCAAAAGGGAGAGGTATCTGGGCCAAAGGTGAAGGGCAGGGCCGGCCGACAAACTCCGAGAACCGGCTAGAAAGTTCCACGAGAGGGCGTGGCCGGAGGCGGAGCCTCGCCGCGTCTGCGGCAATACAAGCGGAGGCGGAGGGGGACTCGGGGTCGGTGTGTGGAGTCTTGGGTCCGGACTGCGTCGCTGCTCGCTGTCATCTCTCTCCGTTGTTCGGCCACGTGGCGGATCTCCTGCGGAGCTCCACCGTCCTCCCCAGCACGCCGTCAGCCAGCGGCGAGACCGGGAGCGGACAGGCAGAACCGCCGTGCGATCAACCGTGTGTGTAGTCCGTAGAACGTAATAGATAAGTGTGTACTTGGAGAGGAAGCCGATAACGTTGGCCTGTGCTGTGCCCGTACGTGGAATAAAGAAGAACACCCTCTACACGACGTGTCATGGAAGTCGCTCATTACAAATATATGCAAATAGGTAGGCACAGAGGAGGGAGGTGGAGAGGGGGAGAGTGGGAGGGGGGAGTGGAGAGGGATGAGTGTGGGGAAGGGAGAGTGGAGAAGGAAGAGTGGCGAGCGAGGCAGTGGGGAGAGTGGCGAGTGAAGGGAGTGGTGAGCAAGGCAGTGGGGAGAGTGGCGAGTGGTGAGTGGAGAAGGGAGTAGTGAGCCAGGCAGTGGGGAGAGTGGTGAGTGGAGAGTGATGAGTGGAGGCAAGGGGAGGGGAGAGTGGGAAGGGGGGGAGAGTGGAGAGGAATGAGTGTGGGGAAGGGAGAGTGGAGAAGGGAGAGTGGCAAGCGGGGCAGTGGAGAGAGCGGTGAGTGGAGAGTGGGGAGGGCAGTTGAGAGGATGAGGAGAGGAGAGAGTGGGGGGAGTGAGCAGGGGGGAGAGGCATGAGTGCGGGGAAGGGAGATTGGCAAGCGGGGCAGTGGGGAGAGTGCCGAGGAGGGATGAGTGGGGGAAGGGAGGAGCGGGGGGAGGGAGGAGTGGGCGAGAGGGGGGGGCACTCACCCGCATGGGGTGGATGTCGGCGTAGGGCGGCTTGCCCTCGGCCATCTCGATGGCGGTGATGCCCAGCGACCACACGTCCGCCAGGCAGTTGTAGCCGATCTCCTGGATCACTTCGGGCGCCATCCAGAACGGCGTGCCAATCACCGTGTTCCGCTTCGCCATCGTGTCCTGCGGTGACCACCGCCGCCGTCAACACCACCATCATCATCATCACCGCCACCACCACAGCCAACATCATCATCACCACCACTACCACCATCATCACTGCTAACACCACCACTGCCACAATCACCGCGACCATCACCACCATTATCACCGCCACTGCTACCGCCACCATCACTGCTACCACCACAATCACTGCTACCACCACAATCACCACCACCACCACCATTGTCACCACCACCACTACTATGACCAGGAACAAGAAATTGCGTATTTATTGGGTACTTGCTAACATTCCCCATTTCCGTGCTGATGCTCTTCTGCAGTGTGGCCAAGAGAGCCCCCTATTGGCAACTGTCCCTTGTGCAGCAGTAGAATGCAGCAGCATTCTCGTGGGCATTAGTCAGCCACTAGAGGGCGATGATGATGCGTGACAATCATATCACCACATCCCATATCGCTCATACCAATGACACAGGCCGTAGTTTCTGTTCCTAGTGTGGAGGGGTGGCGATGTAGCGTGATGCGCGGTACCAGTGGTAGAACTGATGTGTGGTGTGGTTGAGCTGTGGTTGTGCGCCATGCTAGAGCATGGCGCGGTGTTGTGCGATTGAGCGTGGCAGCGTAACGGCGTCGTGGCGTGTGCTGCGTCGCGCGGTGTGATGCGCTGTGTCGTAGCGGTGCGGTGGCCCGGCGAGGCTCACCGTGAGCTGCCCGGCCACGCCGAAGTCGGCGAGCTTGGCGTGGCCCTCGGTGTTGAGCAGGATGTTGCCGGCCTTGATGTCGCGGTGGATCTTGCGCATGAAATGCAGGTACTCGAGGCCCTTGAGCGTCGCCTTCAGAATCGCGGAGATCTCGTCCTCCGTCAGCTGGAGAAGCGGGACACGGAGGGGGATACGGAGGGGGACACAGGGGGGGGTCACACGGGAGAAGCACATGAGGGGGGACACAGGCACGGCGTGAGTGACGAGTGACCCCCGGGGACAACCCGAGACGCACGCCCACACACATGCAGGACAACCCCATCGACACGCGCGCACAAACACAGGAAGGCGCATGCACACGCAGGGTAGACATGGAGACGCACACGTGCACGTAAACGCACATGGACAAACGAAGACCCGACGATGATGCGGATAACGATGATGATGACAATCACACCAACAATAATGATGCTGAGGATGATCATGCTAACAACGATGATGATGCTGATAATAATCAGGCAAACGATTGTGATGATGATGACGTTCACAATGATGATCAGGCTAAGAATGATGATGCTTACCACACTAACAATAATGCTGACGATGATCACACTAACAATGGTGCCAATAACGATGATGACAATGACAAATCATCACCGCGCTAACAACGACGACGACGCCGACGCTAACGATGACGACATAACGAGGGCACCGCTCCGCCGTTCCCACCGTCTTGTTGCGCAGGCGGATGATGTCAGAGACGGAGCCGGCTCCGCAGTACTCCATCACGATCCACAGGTCGGTGTTCTTGAAGTAGCTGCCGTAGTACTTGACCACGTGGGGGCTGCGAGGACGGAGCGGCGTGAGCGCGTGTCGGGGGTGGGTGGTTGGTGGGGGGTTGGTGGGGGGTTGGTGGGGGGGGGTTGGTGAGGGGTGGAACAGAAACTCCGCAGACAACAACCCCGGCAGGGCTGAGTGCCCCAGGGTTGAGAGATTTGGGCTCCCTCCGCCGCCACCCAAGTGGGCAGCATGAGAATGTTCATACGGGGAGGGAAGGATGCGGTGGGGGGGGGGGTAAAGATTTACTATTTTACTATTTAACTCAACAATTGTTTATTTACATGAAGGGACAAAGGGTGATGGAGGTAGTGGGGGAAGGAAGGAGAGGGGAATAGGGGTCACTGATTTTGTTTTAAACCCAGGGGAGAGAACTCGGGAGGTCAGGATCAGGATCCGAGTCGTTCGTGAGAGAGAGGGAGAGAGTGGAACCCGGCGGGAAAGGTCATTGCCAAACTACCGAAAGCAACAACAACAAATAAAACTGGTAAAAAAAGGTAACAGCGACGATGCGAAATAGAAATCGGGGGGGGGGGGGGGGGCAAATTGACCGCGCCACGCAATACGCCGAAAAATGCATCGCACAAACGCGACAAGGAATACATTCCCAACGTAAGCGAGAGTCACGCTCTGGCAGAATAATTTTGTTCAAACATATCAAAGGTACAGGCCACAACACCCACCGGTTCACGGCCTCCGCCCCCACCCCCCCTGGAGATACGCTCCCGAAAACAAGGGGGGTGGGGATCACAAGGACTTGAATCGAAGTGAAGGAGATGGGATGGAGGATAGTGGCGCAGAACCTCCGACTACTGCTACTTCTCGGAGCAGCAATTGTCGGTACTACAGAGATTGCTCGGTAAGCCATAGTGCATCGACACTGTACAACCACCGGTGTGCAAATTACGTGCATAATATTGATATAGAGTAGGACCCCCCTCCTCCTAACGATGGTAATTGGTAACCTCGAGACCGGTCGTTCAGCGATTTGGTCGTTAAGCGATTTGGTCGTTCAGCGATTTGGTCGTTAAGCGATTTGGTCGTTCAGCGATTTGGTCGTTAAGCGATTTGGTCGTTCAGCGATTTGGTCGTTAAGCGATTTGGTCGTTAAGCAAGTATAGGAAGTGCACGTTGAAGGCTGAATTCGTTCCGAAAGTTACCCCCTTTTTCACCCCAAAAATGTACTTAATAATATTTAGACAATTGACATTAATGCATGAAGATACTAACAACAGCCCGGCACAAGAGGTGCGGGGATGAGTGGGTGGTTGAGTGGGTGGTTGAGTGGGTGAGTGCAAGTTTAACTTCTATCGCACCGTACGTGGCCAACCGTGCTAATCAGAGGTGCGGTGCTGTGCGAAGCGAGCGAGCCAGCGAGTGATCGGTGAGTGAGCGAATGAGTCAACAAGTGAGCGCAACGCAAGCGCAGGCAGCACCTGTCGCACTGCTGCATGATGGAGATCTCTTTGATGATCTCCTGCAGGTCGGACTCCACGGGCACCTGCTTGATGGCCACCACCTGGCCCGACTCCTTGTGCATCGCCTTGAACACGCTGCCATAGGAGCTGTGCGTCCATACACAGAAACAACAACAAAGAGAAAGGGTTACCAGACTGCTGGAGGCAAGTGCTGTTAGCGAGCAGCATGTATGAACGCCGGGCACTGTGGCACACGACGGGGGTGGGCGGCCAGCACCACGCCCGGCCGCCTTTGTCTCCCTAAGTGCCGATGCTTACACACCGCACCAGGTACTCGTTTGAGCCCGAGTCGACCTAGGGGAGGCCCAGGACCAGTTCAGATAAAAGTCAATGGTGTTGGGCGTGAGCAGGTATCGAACTCGGCTCGTCGGGTTCGTAGCGCAGTGCTTTAACCGCTGCACTACCGCTCCCCACAACACACACAATCACACAGAACACAGGCAACACAGCTGGTGCATCTACCGGTCATCTCGGTCAGCCAACCCATGGCACCTGCTGGGTCCGTCCCGTGACCTCCCGTCAGCGAGCCTTCGACACTTCACGTGGCCTCAAAGCACAGGTGCCGTGGTGACGTCACCGTCACACAGTGGCGAATGGCTGGGGTATTGGTATTTATTATTGAGTTTAGTTCATTGTAATCTCTCCCCCTGGCCTGCGTGGTTCTCCTCCGGTCTCCTGCCACAGCCAAACCAAATGCGACTGCGACTGGCGTCGGTCCAAACATCCCAACGCCGGATACCGGTCAGCTTTTGCCGTTGGCAAAACACCGACGCGCCGGTCGTTATGCAATGCCCAGTTACCGAGATGCGTGCACTGGGGGGGGGGGGGGGGGGGCTGGGGGGGGGGGGGGGGCTGGGGGGGGGGGCAGGGGGGCGGTTCCCACTCGTGGTGGCGGCTGGAGCTCAATAGAGTGGACGCATCTGTGGAGGGAAAAATAAAGAGCTTAACAGCTCTTCGGATTTCTGCAGGAATAAAATAAAGGATTCCGATTCTGGGGATTTGGGAGCTCTGGCGTTTGCCTTGGCACGGGAGTTTCACCCGTCTTTATTTATTTACCAGGTAAGACCCCACCACTGAGCTACGTAGCTCTTTTCCAGAAGCGCGACCTGGCCACCACAAATGATAGCTCAACGAAGTGGGCTTATCATCATCATCGCGTGGAAATTTATAGCGGCAGCCAAATATACTCTTAAACACGTGACGTTGACTCTTAATGGAGGGAAAAACCGGAGCACCCGGAGAAAAATCCATGTAACCATGGGAAGAGAGAAAGAAATCCGTAAACTCCAAATATACAGCAGGCGTCAGTGTCGGTATCGAACTCAAGACCTCCTGTATACCAGGCGAGTCAACATCTCGCGCCGCAGGGCATCCTTATCTCTACTAACGACCAGCGCTCCAGATAAGGTTTGCAGCGCTTGAGTAATTGTCCCTCCGATTTCAACACTGCGAGTTAAATGTATTAACGATGTACGAGCCTTAACTGGAGCCTCATATTTTTACTTCAAAGTTACTCTTAATTGATTGACAAAAAACGTTGCCTTTTAATAAAAAGACAAAAGGGCTCAATAACATTAAATGTTTCTCAAAGTGAACCTTAAAATTATATATTATTCCAGCAGTGGCTTATGACGATGAAGGTATGTTGGTGTGCATGTGTCATTGTGAGACGGAGGCTCATGAAGGACGCTCGAGGGCAGTGCCAAGCTAGGTGTACTTTGAGGCTATAGGGCAGATGGAGGCAGTCGCTCTGCAACAAACAGCGGAGGGCAGAGGAGCGACGCTCACAACAACGAGTGGAGCGCCGGGCGGCTAAAACTCAGCAAGGTGGCATAGTGGGGATCACAGGGGGTGCATCTGCCAGTCACCTCAGTCAGTCAGCCCATAACACCAGGGTTTATTCCCTGGCCTCCTACCAGCAAACCTTCGACACATCACGTGATGACTTCAAAGTGCACTTAACCTGGCGCAATTACTGTGGCGATGTCACCACCCATTCCCGCTCCGAGACGTCTGCAAGTAGCAGGACGGTGGATGTCCTCGTTCACCGCTGAATCTCGGAACGCGTGAGCGGCTTGGGGTTCTCATTTTATTTAGAGAGGCGCAGTAGTCACGCCAATGTTTTTAATTAACAATGTTACTAACTGCAGAGAACCGCAGCGACACAACCGCCGCCACTCTACGATAGCTGTCAGCCAAACTGTGTCACGCACGGCCCCTCCTGCATGGCCTTGTGGGAGCCTCGGCACCGATGACGTGATTTTATTTTAGTTTTTTTTCTTCTTCCGGTTCCGTCTCTGAAGCGGGAAAGGGGTTCAGCGCGGGATTCCTGTGTTGGCAGCGCAGGATGTGACGGCAAGGAAACGGCGGCCGTGCCCACACAGATCGCTTTCATGCACCAAGTATGCCATCGGAACGGAATTGGAAGAAGAAAAGACCGACGACGCACACGTACGTACATCGCGTACATCATCAGGATGGGTTATAAGGGTTAAGTGACGGGTTGGCGGCTGCCGTGGGCCGTGGTTGTGAGATGGAGCGGGGGAGCTCTCACCCTTCTCCGAGCTTCTCGAGGATGTCGAACACTTCCTCGGGCTGCTTCGTCAGGCTGTCTTCGCTCAGCTTCTTCAGCGTACTGCGGGAACACGACAGGGCCGAGCTCAGCGTGACAGCTCATCGTCGTCATTGCATCATCATCATCGTCGTCATCGTCGTCGTCAGCCATGGTCAACCTATTACACTGACACACACGAAAATCGAAACACAAACTCACGCATTTTCATTGCCGTCATCATCAGCCGCGGCCAACCACTAAGAAGTTCAACGTACGCACGCGACTGCTCGAAACCGACCACGCAGCATCATGAGTATGTGTGCCGAACGTCTTTCGCACCGTACGTAGCCAACCATGCCAATCGGAGGTGCGGGGTAATGACAACAAAGTGACACTGACACACGTGACTGGGGAAACACAGACCATGCAGCAGCTCACGGAGGTGTGTACCGTGCAGAACGCCCTCGGGGCTACAGACCGGGCCACATCATCATCACGAGCCCGATACGAGATAAACGTGCGACTCTGGTGGCAGCACATGAGAAGTCGAAGATCCCTTCCCAAGCTATCATCGTCGCTCACGATCCCGCGATGCAGCAACCGAATCTAGCACACCAAGGCGCTGGTTGCATCGCTTCATCTCCCTGCTAGACGTTCTCTCGGATGTGTTCCATACCTTGGCTGCCGCTCCCGTTATTAATATTCATCCACAGTCCAACATCCCTTCTAGTGACACGGTCGTGGAATGTTAACTACCTCGCCTGGTGTAATAGGAGATAGTAGGTTAGATCCTGACCCAGGCGACTGCTGTATATTTGGAATTTTCATGTTTCTCTACCCATGGTCGCGTGGATTTTTTTCCGGGTCCTCCGGTTTTTACCTCCACATTTAAGAATCAACATCACGCATTGAAGATTATTTGGTTCCTGCTATAGAAGTATACGTGATGATAAGCCACTTCGTTGAGCTATAATTTGCGATTGGCAGGGTCGCTTCTGAAAAAGAGCTATGTAGCTCAGTGGGGCCTTTCCCCGTTAAAACAAAACATTGCTTCGTTCGTAGTTTCGCGACGAGTCCTAGCCAAGCCCACTCACTTCCTTTCGTGATTATCAAATGCTTAAATATCCTTCACATTTGTACTGCGTGAAATTAAGTGACCGATTACTGTCCATGCAGATGCAGGAAGAGAAACTGAGTCTCTGCCAATACTGTTTCCACCAAGGTCCCACCAATGCCCCGCCAACATCTCAACAACTTCGCAGATATATTTAACCAATCACAGACCATATGTTCATCCAGCCATGGTCTCAGCTTTGTGAAACACCGTAAGTAAATACAGAATATACATTTACCCAAATGTATTTCCAATTGTTGCAAGATATTTACACATTTCACTCTGTGCCACTTCATTAAACGATTTCACGAGGTTTTATTTATTTGATCAGGTAAGGCCCCACTGAGCTATGTGGCTCTTTTTCAGAAGGGACCAATCACAAATGATAGCTCAACTCAGGGGCTTATCATTATCACGTGGAAACATATAAGCAGACAATACTCTAAACGCGTGTTTCTAAACTTGGAGTGAAAAACCGGAGGACCCGGAGAAATCCACGCGACCATGGGGAGAGAGTGAGACATGAAAACTCCAAATATACAGGCATCAGGGTCGGGATCAAACCCACGACCACTTGTATACCAGGCAAGGTAGTTAGCATCTCGTCACCTTGTCTCAAAGAGGTCTGTGAGAGATTGAGAGAGTCTCCTATTCGCTTACGCTCAGACTCGAACTCATCCTAGTGGTTAAGAGTGACTCCAGCCACCGGGATGAACTTAGATTAGAGTGTTGCCTATACTCGGAATCCAACTCATCCCAGGGAGCTCGGGTGCCTTCCCCTTGTTCGTGCCAGGCATTTAACCGTATGAGGCAGAATCTTAACTAACAGCTGTCACAGCCCATACGGTTTACCCCATATTCTTTTACAGGGAAATTTAGTTTTTAGGTCCATACGGCGTACAGCCGTATCAATATGGGTAAACATTTATTTTTCTCTATTTGTTTGTGTTTCTCTCCTTATGAAGGGACTTTGTAGGATGAACGTTGAGATTTATAAGGGGCACGAGATGACCAATAAGGTCTGAATTGGTCTGTAATACGGTAGGGCACTGATAAAGGGTTGACAAGTATGTTAACTACACTTCATATTAAATCAAAAGAGGAAAATGCGGGCAGGCTGCGGTGAAACTGATCGAGCCGACGACATGCAAAAGGTGCGATGGGGAAGGATATTGACATAGCGGACAACAGAACCACAAATGCTGTTGAGAAACAGCGGCATGCCTGCGCGTGTGTTAGAGCAGTGGCTGCAGAGCGGCGTCCTTCACTAATTTTAAGAGGCGGCGGACACTTTGGCCGATAACGCATCAATCAGTGTGTTAGTGAGGACCGCCACAAATTTGAACCCATTGGGGGTTTGACAGCAGCACCATGAGGATAATGACGATGGGGGTGTTTTCACGTTATGTTGTGTATTATTGGGGGAGAGGGGCGGCACTAAAGGCCACCCAGGGGCCGCCAGTGGGCCCGCAGCGGCCTTGAAACTTAGAACACTGGCCTAGAGAGTGACCGCCGGTCCTCTACCGGGTATGTGACCCATCGCAGTACCTCGAGTGCGTCAACTCGAGCTACTGGGATTGCGCTGGTGGTGGTGGGGGTGGTTAGGATTAGCTGGAGCATAAACAGAGGCACAGGGCCGCCTGTACCCAGTACCCAAATCATCTCATTTGTTAGAACGTCTATAAATAGGCTCTAATCTATACCATAGGACCTTTTTTGCAGGCATCAAAGTATAAAAGAAATAGAATAGGTTTCACCCTTTCTGGCAATAAAACAGGAGGTGTTAAGATGTTCAAACACCAAATGGATTATACCTTCTGCAAGGAATTAAGTCCTGCAATAAGCACACACAAGACTTGTGGTGAACATGCAAACCAACTCTTATAACGACGCATTGTCTTTGAAACTGATGGTCATCGTGCTGCTGTCAAATCCCCAGACACAGCAGCCTCCTTTATGGCTCAGCATCACCAGTGTTGTTAGACCAGAGCAATCTGAATCTTTACTTGTATCGGAAAAATCTGAAAGGCTATGAAGCTCTTTTCCACTGGCTTTCGCGAGAAATATTATCCATGAGGTTTTTTTTTTCTCGGGTTAGATCGCGTAAATATACAAAGCGTCGTCAAAACCGCCACCACCCGACACAGCCATATTCGTAAGGGGTTATCACGTAAACAAAACGTGGCCAATTCGTTACAGCGCACACCGGTTGTGTTGGAGAGTAAATATCCACAACTTTTACAATCTGTAAATCTTTAGATTGTAAATGTTGTGGATTTACACTCTAACACAACGGAGCCTATGGGTAGACTTGGTTGTGTGTTGAGTCTATGGGTAGTGCGAGTCGATGAGCAGTGTTAGTCTAGGTCAGTATGTATATACAGTATGTTTATACAGTATGTATATATGTAGTGTTAGTCTACAGTATGTATATACAGTATGTATATATGTAGTGTTAGTCTACAGTATGTATATACAGTATGTATATATGTAGAACTTTTTTCGCGCCGCACGTAGCCAACCGTGCCAACCGGAGTCAGCCTATGAATGGTAGCCAACACCACGCCCGACCGCCTTTGTCTCCCCACTGCCAACTTTACGGGCCGCGAGCGGGAATCGAACTCGGTGGGGGGTGTTTGTTTTGGCCGAGTTCGTAGCGGCTAACCACTGACGGACACACACAGGGGGAGAGGGAGATAATAGAGACACACACAGGGGGATAGATAATAGAGACACAGGGGGGGGGGGAGATAATAGAGAGACACACACGGGAGAGAGAGATGAGAGAGCGATGAGAGAGAGACACACACAGGGGGGGAGTAGGAGCGGGCGAGGTGTCGTCAACCAACAATTCTGGGCAATTTCCGCGCCGGGGAAGTCGCCCCGGGCGCATCGGGGCCTACTGGCGCCCAGACAGCCGAGCCGAGTCGCTCTACCTCCTCTGCCCGGGCTTGTCCATGGCTTTCTCGCGTCGTCAAGGCTGCCTCTCCTCCTCCTCCTCGCCTCCTCCTCCTTTATTCGCTCGCCCGTGCCATCGTCTCGTCCACCTCGTCCACCTCGTCCACCGCCAAACCTCCACTTCTCTCGCTACTCCACAACCAAAAAAAACCACCCCCTTCGCCTCGAATTTCCTAACACGGATAAGCGCCTTGGACCAATGGGGCGCCGCTTTGCTGGCGCGAGGCGACGGCGCTCCGGCCAATCGCGAGCGTCCGTGGTGGGGGGGGGGGGGTGGGGGGGGGTGTGGGGGGTGTGGGGGGGGGTGTGGGGGGGGCCGAACCGCGATGGGAAATACAAAGAGGAAGAGTTGGCCGGGCCCGGATCGATTGCTCGATCCGTGTGTCGATTCGTTCCCACCGCGCTGGGTTCGATTACTGATGCCAATCCCCCCCACCCGGTCGGTCTCGATTCGGTATCGATTTCATGAAATAACGATTAATCGATTATCACGTCCGTGCGTTACGTATTTGAGAATCCGAATCTTTAATCCTAAAGATCTATTTTATGATCACAGATGTCCAGTAGGGGGCACGGGAGAGGCGAATACAACAACAAAGGCACCACAATTCGTTGTCACATCGCGAACACGATCGCCTTTGGCGCGTACGGGAACGGCAGACGAATCACCCCAAACACACAAACATCTGCTTCTGATCTGCTCCCCAAACGTTCATTGCAACAAATCTCAGGTTGACGAACGCATTTCTTTAGAACTGCTGCTTCTTGTTGTTGTTGTTGCTGTCCTTCCCCCCTCCGCACATGCGATTAGCACGGTTGCCTCGTACGTTGCAAAATAAGTTGAACATGCATACACGATTGTGGTAATGGTGATGGTGGTGAAGGTAGTGATGATGTTGATGGTGGTGATGCTGATGGTGGTGATGTTGATGGTGGTGGTGATGTTGATGGTGATGTTGATGATGTTGATGGTGATGATGTTGATGATGCGGCCGTCTGGAACGCTCTCTCTTCCAATATTAGAACGCCACTGGGCGCTATGCACTTGTAAATCATCAAGATTGCCAAACTAATTTCTTTATAACTGATGTTTGTGTTTATTTTCCTTCCCTTCCCCCGCACCTCCGATTGGCAGTGGCGTCACTGGGGGTGCGGACCGGCCCGCGTGACACCAACGCGACTGCCTGTAACATTTCTCTGCAGTGTTTCAGCAGAAATGTATTATTTTTTATTTAAAAAATATCCCAGTTATAACAACAAAATTTGTTTTCGTAAGCCCAGCTTACATGTGCTGTATCAATATACCTACAAGGCTAAAACTCTGTGCTAATTTACGTTTTGAACCTTCTAATGCGCTCCGGTCAGAGCTGTCATTGTTACCCAATCACAGTGACGCTTCGAGTCGCTGATTTTGTCAAATTTTCTGGTGTTTTTGCTACAATATTGTGGTAATTCGTATTTGTGAACCTATATCAATAACTTTTTGAGAATGAAATAGTAATTAAAGGAAAAGGAGAAAAATATAAAAGGCTTCTGCTCAGTTACTAATAATGTTGTAACTAAATTTCGATTTAAAGCTTTCGTGACTGCAGGGATTCATCTTCTTGGTTCTTTCGGTAAAGTCACGTAGAAGGGAAGTAATAAAATAATAAAACTAAAACATAATAAAACAATTCTCACGACGTTTCGGCCACAACGCAAGCAGCCGTCCTCAGGTGAAAACCAGGTCCGTCGCCTCGACGGACCTGGTTTTCACCTGAGGACGGCTGCTTGCGTTGTGGCCGAAACGTCGTGAGAATTGTTTTATTATGTTTTATTTTTATTATTTTATTACTTCCCTTCTACGTGACTTTACCGAAAGAACCAAGAAGATGTTGTAACTAATAATGTTATAATTCAATGTAGAAAGATTTAACAAAACTATTTTGTTGTTAGTATTCATATAATCTAAGAAATTATTACATTTAAGCAATTTACAACTATATCAGATTATTCTATGATTAAAATTTACAATAAACTTACATGTAGAACAATTATTGATTATATTACTCTTTGATAACTAAATAGAGAAATTGACAATTTAAAACATGAAGGGGGGGGGAAGTGTTGTTTCTTGATACATGTTTATAATATAACTTAAATCTGAAATTCAGTTATTTTGATTTGAGTCTTTTTAAATTTTCTTGATAAACATCACTGTCTTGCAAATATATCTATCTGATTTAATGTAGTTCTTAAATGTTGACGTTTTTTTTACTTCGAATTCTCTTGTGTTCTTACCGAATTTTCACTTTAACCACGTGAAACTATGTAAAAGTACATTTAGGCTGTACGTATGATATTACAATTTAAAGGTGTAATTTTAATTTTGCTAGTTTATGTCACTACTAAAACACGTTTTTATGATTTATTATTACTTATTCAGTATTATGTATTTTACCAGGTAAGGCCCACTGAGCTATTAGTTCTTCTTCAGAAGCGACCCTGGCTGTCACAGATGATGGCTCTACCAAGTGGCTCATCATCATCATCACCACCTGGTGGAAATGTAGAGCAGTCTAGCCAAATACTCCAAACGCGTGGTGATGACGATTCTAAAATGTGGAGGGAAAAACCAGAGGACCCGGAAAATAATCCACGTAACTATGAGGAGAGAGAGACCGCAGACTCCAAATATACAGCAGGTGTCGGGGTCGGGATCGAACCCACGACCTCCTGCATACCAGGCGAGGTAGTTAACATCCCCTAGCCACCGTGATGATGATGAGAGAGAGAGACACGCAACTCCAAATGTACAGCATGCATTGTCAGGGTCGGGTATTGAACCCACGACCTCCTGTCGACCAGACGAGGTAGTTAACATCTCCTAGCCACCGTGGCAGGGATGCGTTCCTGAACGGCGTGACGGCGGATAATCGAAACGGCTCTGCAGAGCGAAGGGGCTGAGAGGCGACCGACAGTTGTAGGGCGGAGGGCCACGATGCCGCCAGCGACGAGACGTCAACGCAGGTTTCGTTGAACTTCCTCCGCACCGCACGTGGCCAACCGGGCAGATTCCGGCTTGTTCAGAATGCAGCCCGCTCGAGTGCCTACACGACGTGACGCCGTTCCGTGAGCTCGTTGCACCCCAGGTCCTCTTTATCTCTTCACTCGCTACCGGTCAAATTTCGAGTGGGTTTAATGCACTGCTCTTCACCTACGAGGATTTAAAAGGGCTCACAACCCCACGTTACTTGCAGGAACTAATATATTGATGTACCCCATTATCATCATCATCAACATCATCACCATCATTATCATCAATATTATAATTATCATCATCAACATCATCATCATTCTCTTCCGCAATGTCGATGGGCAGCTTCAGTGCAGCGTGGCGCGTGGCGGCCGCTAGAGGCCGCTCGAGGCGAGAAGTGGAGGGCGACAAGAGCCACGGAGAGTTGGCGAGGTGGCGCTGGTGTTTGGTGCGGCCCTAGCCACGCGTTATCGGGCTATATCGGGCGATGACCGACGTTTCGCTCCACGTGCCGTGTCTGTTCTTCTTCGAGCACTGGCGTGGCGCTCTACCAATGGGCTCTCGGGTTTTACCCGCCGTGCGCTCGTTGTTGTTTCTCTTGGCACGGTGTCCGACGTTTCAGCTCCACGTGCTCGGAATTCAGTTCCTGGAGGTGTTCTACCCCAGCACGTGGAGCGTGTGAACGAACCCGGGCGTAGCCCATCAGCCTCATCATCACCACCAATACCATCATCACCACCGAGTAATTATCATCACCACCACCGAGTAATCACCATCACCACCGAGTAATCACCATCACCTCCACTAAGTCATGATCATCACCACGAAGTCATCGTCACCACCACTACCACCAAGTCGTCATCATCCCGTCAGTGACGCCAAGATGCGCGTAGTGGGCGCCTCTTCTTTCCCCACTCGCTCACGGTGATGATGACGATGGAGGAGATGATGACTTAGTGATGGTGATGGAGGTGATGAGGACTTGGTGATGATGACTTGGTGATGATGATGGAGGTGATGATGATGACTTGGTGATGGTGATAATGATGGAGGTGATGATGATGACTTGGTGATGGTGACTTGGTGATGATGACTTGGTGATAATGATGGAGGTGATGATGACTTGATGATGATGATGGAGGTGATGATGTTGATGATGATGGTGGTGATGATGACTTGGTGGTGATGACGATGGTGATGATGATGATTTGGTGATGATGATGAGTTGGTGATGGTGATAATGATGGAGGTGATGATGTTGATGATGATGGTGATGATGATTTGGTGATGATGATGATGACGATGGTGATGATGATGATGACTCGGTAATGATGACTTGGTGATGGTGATAATGATGGAGGTGATGATGTTGATGATGATGGTGATGATGATGACTTGGTGATGATGATGACTTGGTGATGATGATGACTTGGTGATGATGATCACTTGGTGATGATGATATGGTCGTGATGATATCGATGATGACAATGCATTGGTGACGATGACGCTATAGTGATGACGTGATGGTGATGCTGACTCGATGGCAATGATGATGATGACTCGATATTGATGATGATGACTCGATCACCACGATGAAGGTGATACTAACTTGATGATGATGATTATGATGACGACTTGGTAATGATGATGGTGTTTATGGTGACGCTGACTGATGATCATGATGATTATGATGATGACTTAGTTATGGCGATGATTATTGTGATGACTTAGTGATTATTGTGATGACTTAGTTATGGCGATGACGCCGACTTGATGATGATGACGACGACGACGACGTCGATGACAACTCGGTTCCTGCTGCTGCTGCTGCTGGTGGTAGTGGTGGCAAGAGGCGTCGTTAGTATTTCGCGCGTCACCCCCGCGTCTGCCTCCTCCTCCTCGTCACACGCGGCCTGGAGGAGCGAGATAACGGAGCAGCAGCAGCAGCAGCAGCCACCGCACGTGCCGCTCGTCGCCTTCACAATTCGATGGATCGCCCGCGGGAGGGGGAGGGGGCGAGTTCTGTTCGGAGGGTGGGGGAGGGGAGGGAGGGGATTGGTTGGGGCAGACTGGAGGGGTGGCTGCGTTGGCATGAAGATTGGGCAGGAGGGGAAGGCGGGGG